GGCTCCCGCCTGAGACTTCCTCCATTTTCAGGCCTGGGGAGCTCAAAAGTGACGACAGTTACAGGATCCCGATGACCCGCTCGGATTACCAACGTGATCTGCGGGCCCCATAGGGTGGGGGCTCCCGCCTGAGACTTCCTCACAATTTACTCAACGATGATGAGGATGAGGATGATGAGTGGTGGTGAAGATGAGTGGTGAAGAGGATGATGATTGATTGTGAGTGGTGGTGGCGATGATGATGTTTGAATGAGGATGATGCCGATGATGATGATGATGATGATGATGATGATGATGATGTTCGTGAGCGTGTGAGAGAGTGCGAGTGATGATGATGATGAGTTTGTGAGTGACTAAGCATGTGAGAGAGCATCATCGATGATGCTGATGAGGTTGATGATGAGAGAGTGTGAGTGAGTGTGAGTGGGTGTGTGTGTGTGTGTTCCTGTTCCTGCGCGGGGTGTCCAGAGAAAACAAGAACCCCACTTTGGATGTGGGGAATAAGAGATGTCAGAAAATATTACCACATTTTAGAAAATAGTGGACAACATGCAAACAATAGTGACACATCGTGAAACATAGTGAAACATACGGAAATAGTGATCCATAATGAAACATAATGAAAATAATGAAAAATAGAGAACCATACATAACAATACATGTTTAACTCGCGATGGATTTAGGAGCTCTTAGCCTCCTATAGGTCACAATATATTACCTAATCGTCACTAATACTAATGGCCACAATATACAATCCTAATCACATCCGAACCTATCTTAATCAGTCCTAAACAATCCTAACTTACCATCACTATAACCATTTATCCGTAAGGGCTTCGCCCCCTGCCGCCGGCCCCCTCTCTCGGATAATGGACCATCGAAGAGGTAAGTCATGAGGTCTTGGCGCTGTCGTGAAGCAGTATCGAAACTTCATGCGAAGCCGATTCGCAATCAGCAAAACCAACTGATCACAAGAGGGGTTACCACACCTGGCGATTGGTAAGACGTGTATGGTTTACGGGCTTGGTTACCACACCTTGCGATTAAAGGGCCGAGGGAGTTCTCGCAGTTTGGGTTACCACGCCTTGCGATGGATGTGCGTGAAGGGTGGCACCGAATTTCAGAAATGTGGCGAATCCCCTGTGTTTTTGGACCCTGACCCCGCGGATCTGCGTGAGGGGTGGCGCCGAATTTCAGAAATGTGGCAAATCCCATGTGTTCTTGGACCCTGACCCCGCGGATCTGCGCGAGGGGTGGCACCGAATGTAAGAAATGTGGCAAATCCCATATGTTTTTGGACCCTGACCCTGCGGATCTGCGTGAGGGGTGGCACCGAATTAAGAAATGTTGCAAATCCCATGTGTTTTTGGACCCAGACCCCGCGGATCTGCGTGAGGGTGGCACCGAATTTCAGAAATGTGGCAAATCCCCTGTGTTTTTGGACCCTGACCCTGCGGATCTGCGTGAGGGGTGGCACCGAATTTCAGAAATGTGGCAAATCCCTTTTGTTTTTGGACCCTGACCCCGCGGATCTGCGTGAGGGGTGGCACCGAATTTCAGAAATGTGGCAAATCCCATGTGTTTTTGGACCCTGACCCCGCGGATCTGCGTGAGGGGTGGCACCGAATTTCAGAAATGTGGCAAATCCCATGTGTTTTTGGACCCTGACCCCGCGGATCTGCGTGAGGGGTGGCACCGAATTTCAGAAATGTGGCAAATCCCCTGTGTTTTTGGACCCTGACCCCGCGGATCTGCGTGAGGGGTGTTGATTTCGAGCCCCCCCCAGCAATTCAGACAACGCGCCCAGGGGGTGCTAAAAAGCCGGTTTGGGCCTCCCCCCCCCTCGCGCGGTCAATCAACTAGTTACAGTAACCAGCAATAAGCAGAGCTGTAACACTGGAAACTACAAGCTACAACTGGTACAGGAAACTGCGAATCCCGCTCCTCGCAGCCTGGTGGCCCCACAAGAGGCCGGCGGATAAATACTTATTGCTTCGCGTTCATCAAAGTAGGAATCGGCCGGGGAAGCCCCCCGGGCGCCAGAAGCAGAAATTCAGCATTTTCAAAAGGAAAATGTGTATTAGAATGGTTTTGTTTTCGGCGCCGCCTCGGAACTCGATTGTCCGGCGCCGGCCGGAACCGGCTCCGGACCCGGCCCGAGCGCCGGCCCGGGCGCCGGCTCGGGCGTGCAGCCCGGGCGCCGGCGGAAATATGAGGCCAGCGCCGCAGCGGGAGCACGATTCGGAACGAGCGGGGCCCGAAAATGATGCCAGTGTTTCAGCGAGAGCAGCATTTTGGAACAAATGCAAGCGAAAACCTAACTCCGGGTAAACCTGTGTGTGCGCGGGGGTGTGGGGGCGAATATTCCCAAGACGTCATCAGGGGAAGAGGGAAAGTAGTATTCATATTGAGTAATTGTGGAGGAGGAGG